TATGGACACAAATCGACTTTACTTTTGCATCAAAAGACAGTCCATGAGAGTCGGACAGATTTCGCATGTGACAAGTGTGTGAAGAAGTTTGGGCTCAAAACGCTTTTAGATATGCATACAAAATTAGTCCATGAAGGTCGCAAAGATTACGCATGCGACAAGTGTGAGAAAAAATTTGGATACAGATCAAGTTTGCTAGCTCATATAAAAATAGTCCACAATGGTCGCAAAGATTATGTATGCAACAAGTGCAAAAGGAAATTTGGAGTAAAATCGAAATTGATTCGACACCAAAAGACAGTGCACGAAGGTTTCAAAGATTACGCATGCGACAATTGCGAGAAGAAATTCGGAAATAAACAACAATTGCTTAGACACCAAAAGATAGTCCACGAAAATCGCAAAGATTACGGATGCAACATTTGCGAGAAGAAATTTGGGGATCAAGGCAATTTGACCAGACACATAAAAACAGTCCATGAAGGTTGCAAAAATTTCGCATGTGACAGGTGCGGGAAGAAATTCGTAGATAAATCGAAATTGATTAAACATCAAAAGACAGTACACGAAGGTTGCAAAGATTTTGCATGTGATAGATGCGAGAAGAAATTTGGACTAAAATCAAATTTGCTGGCCCACTTAAAGACAGTACACGAAAGATGTAAAAATTTTTCATGCGACAAATGCGAAAAAAAATTTGGATTCAAAGCGACCTTGCTCATCCATCAGAAGACAGTTCACGAAGGTCGTAAAGATTATGCATGCAACATTTGCGAAAAAAAACTTGGGAGTCAAAGCAATTTGAAGAGACACAAAAAAATAGTCCATGAAGGTTGCAAAGATTGACAGGTGTGAGAAGAAATTCGAAGTAAAATTGAAATTGATTATACACCAAAAGACAGCCCATAAGTGTCTTTAAGACTGTACATGTGACAAGTGCAAATACAAATTTGGACAAAAATTGAATTTGCTAAAACACATAATAACCATGAAGAAAAAAGACAAGTGAAGAAATGATGATTGACAATTTATATATGTAAAGATACTCATTCATATGTTTTTCTTAAATTTCAATAAAATTCGTGTCTTTATAATTTTGTATTACTTGAACCTCAGGCATTCAACTATCATTACACCTTTGAATACTGATATTGTGAATTATTACTGACAGGGCGAGCTTTTATTCACTTCTTGTTTATAACTGTAAATGGGGTGAACATTCAGATGGCTACTGCATTTTTAATAAACCTTACGAAATTACAATCGATCCCGAATTTATTAATCACACGTTAGTGAGATATTTAGCTAAATTTGCTGACAGCTCCTGAGCGGCAAACTTTGCGTTGGGGCGGCACTTTTTTCAATCCGCCACTGGATGTAACATTGACACGTTTTTTCATTCGTCTTTCATTAAAAATTAATTCGTTTTCACCTTCGAGTTTTTTTACTCAATTGACTTGATTAATTTTAAATACCACGCCGAATCGAATCAGAGCTTCAAGCTCGCGAGATAAAACACGCAGCTTGAATAATTTCTAAAAACGTCAGCGCACCACCGATCCACCTGACACAGTTTCATTTTCTTAAAATACTAATTCGAAGATGCGCGATGACCTCGAATGTGAAATGTTAAAACTCGGTGTCAATTCCACAAATAAAGTACCGTTGAAATGCACTTTGGAGTTTTCATTCCCCCTCTCGACATCCGGGCAACCCGAGCGAGTCAAATGAAAAGCTTCTTTCGCTCCTCTTCAACTGTTTATTCCTTTAATTTATGCTTTCTACGAAAAAATGTTCACGCGCTGATGAAAAAAGTGCAGAGCGTTTAGCGCCGTATAATGCACACGCGCGCTTTTGGAGGGTTGGCGAAAAAGTTGGTATATATTCGCGCAGTTAAGATTACGGTAATACAGCGTATAATGCCGATACTTAGCGAAATATAAATAGGAAGCGTTAAATCCGCGCTTAGAAGTCTTAATCTGTACTTTTTCTCTACTTTTAAATGGCCCGCCTGACACCTTCTTATTCTACTCTCAGGGAATACATTAGGCTAAGGTTGTATGCCTACAAACAGCCTAGAGGCGGTGGCACGCTTATCGTTCGACCGATAACGCGCACTTGCGGAGAAAAGAAGTCGTCGTCGGAGCCGTGCGCCGCTCGGAATGCGTAGGAAGAAAAAAAATAAGCTCGATGTAATACCGAGTTTATTCGCACACGCTCGTGCTCGTGGCCTATGTGTGAATGGCTGGCAAATGTACTTTGAAACGACGGAAAAATTGCGATTACTACTACTCGGTGCTTGCGCGCGATCTCGTATAAGCGATTTTGTATAATACGAGATGCTGTATACGCGTGTTATTACGCCACACTGCGTAGCGACACGCTATTATATTATATCTTCGTCGCGAGAGTGGATGTTTTGACTCGAAATGCGATAAACAGAAGATGATGAAATGCGTGCACTGGGCGAGAAAAATATTATTCAATTTTCGGTAGAGGCGAGATTTAATATCGATCATCTTGTGCACGCGCTACGCGAAGCGACATCCGACCGACGACATTCAGAATCAGTCTCGATTTGCTCCTCGAGTTGGTGGCTACTGCTCGACTTCCGAATAAATTTATAACGCGAAATTGGTTTGAAATCAAATAAATATTCTGTAAGCATCAATAAAAATTTTTCTAAGCTTTAAAATTACAAATATAACAAATTCACGGATCTTTCGGTCTATTTTCAGAACCATGTTCGGTCAATTATTGTCAGTTTTACTGGTTGCGCACGCTGCTCTGGCCAAGCCGCAAGGATGCTTTTTCATGTGCGACGAGGGCGCGAGCTTCACCGCGCCGATACAGAGACACGAGTCCTACGTGAGCGCAGCCGTGCCGAGCTACGTTAGACCGGCTCGTCTGCAGAACGTCTACGACAGCCAAGTGGAGCTTCTACCCGCGGCTCGCCAACGCGTCGAGCTCGTGCAACGTCCCGTGATGACTTGGAGCGCCCAACCCGTCGTGAGTTACAGCCTGCCGTCGTCGCGATTGATGCAGCGATTGGAGACCGTCGAGCCCGCTGTGGAGGTCGTCCACGAGCAGCCGGCCACGAGACTGAACAACAACGTGGAGGGTATGTTTCATCATCATCAGCAGCAGAGCAGCAGCAGCAGCAGCTCGTCTCTAGGCTACTTCAAGTCCGGCGTGAATCAAGTCGAGAGCAGACCGAGTGTCAGGGTTGAGCAAATAAGAAGATACCCGTCGAATCCCTGCATGAGCGCTTTCACCGATCCGTGCTTGTAATCAATCGCTTGATTGAAAATTATGCCTATTATTTTCTTTTTGAATATGATATTGTAAATTGACTGATGCGGAAAATTGACAAAAATAAATGGCGATCGTTTTTCCACATTTAATAATAGCTTTGTTTTAATCCACTCTTGATAACAAAATAAGTAACTTGCCGTCTTTATATCAAAAATTATAACTTGGTATATATTTTGCAAGAAAGCCGACGCATTTCGTTACATAATACGTGAGTATAGCCGCGACGCCGAACGATAGCCCCCTCGACGCGCCCGACATATTCTCAAGCACGCACACACATACACACATAATGTCTCGTTTGGCCGAGCACTGGTTGAGAACTATATAGAAGCTAATCAAGCGAATCCTTATCGAAACTGCGGAAATTCGAACGCCCGACACAAAAGCCTCGCTGTTACGAGCTTGTGTGCGCGGAGAGAAAGAGAAGAAACATCCTCGACGACAAGTTTCGGCGCAAGAGAGAGAGAGAGAGAGCCAATGTGCACATCGAGAAGCACAGCTAATGTAAGACCTCGTTGAAATTAATGTTACGATCGTCTCTGGACCACATCGATGCTCCCTAGTACTCGTTTTCAACTGATATAATATTACACTGATAAAAATAATGCTGGATATTCGGCAAACGTTTGAAACTAAGGTTACTCCGAACGAAACTAGGACTCTATATTACATGGACGCTAAAATTTAGAGCTCAAAACACACTTGAGCCTTCATTTTTTAATCATTATTTTACTGATTTGAAATTGTCTTGTTTGATGTTCAGGGATAAACAGTTCTCATCTGGGAACACAGACACAATCTGCATTCTCGTAGGGTATAGAAGTACGATATAGAGTTTCAATTTTTACAATAATGTACTTATTTCAACGCAGCAGATCTCTGCAGCTTGGACTCAAATACGCTTTTGATTGGATATAATTGCGGTAAATCGTTATTTAGTCTATTAATTATGAGCAGGCGCTCGTCAGATGATCCGTAGATCAAAGTGACTCGTATCTCAAACGCAACAGCTGCCCGTGGATTTCGACACGATGGATGAGCTGCTAAATTCTGGAATTTCTCTTGCAAATATCGTTATGCGTCCAAAACACAAAAGACTTCTATACAAATATGTTGTATGGTATATGTGCGTTAGGTGAGTGAGAACTAGATTGTATTGTGTATAAAACCAGGTGTGTTAAATAATTTGGCATAAAAAATGTATCAAAATTTCAATTTATTTATAAGCTACTCTAAATTATATACACCCATGTGTGACACCAAAAAAGTGTAAGAAAAGTTTTATCAACAATAAATGAGCATCGACCAATATAATAAAATTTATTTATTAGAAAAGTGAAAAAAATAATCGACAAAAGGCTTTTACTGCAAAGAAAAAAAACAAATAATTTGAAAAAATTATGTTATGCCATAGGATAAAATAATGTTGGTACGTGGTTGATGTTTAGATTTTGCAATGGCGCAATATGAATAATAAATGACAACGATTCACTGCGGGATATTTAACTTATTTATTACAAGAAAACGATAATTATTTCAACATCGAATTAAACTTTTGCAGTAGAAGAAGTTATTTTATTAGGTGTAACCTGAAGTATAAAATGATCTAAAGGCTGCTGTAAGCAATATTGTTTTTTTTAACCTTACAGGAATACAATGGAAATGAGTCATAGTTTTGGTTACTTTTAAATTAAGAGACTTATATTGCTACATGTTTCAAAATTTAATTGAATGATCGACCCAGCCTCCACTACCAAAGTTTTCATTGATCTTAATAAAAGTAATACTACGATGAGCCTAGCTTTTGGTGGATATTTGTACCAATTGATGAAATAACTAAGAACCTGAATTTTATTCATATTTCATCAATTATTCTTATTTTTAAGTAAGTTCAAGTTCGGCGCTCGGTATTTCTGTGTTTCAAGCTTCAACTTCAACTATTATTTTAATTCCAACGACAGATTCTGGAAGAGCATTCAATTTTACTTCTAAAACATGAAATATTAATATGGCGTCACTTCAAACGCAGAAAAAACCATCCTTCAGAATCGAGCGCCGAAGTGGCATCTTTCAGCTCGAACGCGAAATAGCATCTTTCTGCCCGGAGCGCGACATGGCATCTTTCAGCACTGGCACTGGTTGGGATATATGCCCAACAATCACGCAGTACCCCACCATCCTATGCACATCTATTGCGCACAGTACTATTTTAAAAGTATATAGGTCAACAGTGTAAAACTTTAAATGTAGTTATAGTATTCTATATCCATTTATGAAACAGTGACTAGACATACATTTGCTTATAACAGTCAAAACAATGAAGGTGTATGTTTTGGTATGCATGTACTATAGGACATGACAAAGAAAAAGTTTTTTTTTACGTAGAACGTGAAGTATAAAATGATCTAAAACCTGCCGTAAACGATAATGATTTTTTTAAAACCTAAAAGGACATTTTGTAATTACAAAAAACCATAGTTTTGGTAATTGGTATATTTGGTATACTTTTTGAGAGACTTACATTGCTACACGTTTCAAAATTTAACTCAATAATTTTCCCAGCCTCAAATACCATAGTTTTCATTGATCTTAACAAAAATAATACTAAAATGCGCCTAGCTGTTGGTGGGTATTCGTACCAATTAATGCAATAACTACGAACGTGAATTTTTTATTAGTTATAAATTAGACTTATTTTCTAAGTATGCAGAAATCTTACGTTTTGTTGAACATATCAAGGCAAGCATTACTTAACAATTGACTAGGAATACAAGCAATTGGAACGGTAATCAAAGCAGTACAATATACTATCAACATTTTAATAGCTATTGCTGAGCTCGAATTCATTAAAACTACCATCTGCAATTCATCATTAAAATACATTATTAAATATTTTGAGCCTGTTAACATTGATATATTTATAAGTTTCGAGTAGAATTAATAATTTTTTTCATAATATTTTAATATCATAAAAAAATTAAAAATTCGACTGGTAATCAGTTCCATACTCACTGTGGTACCACTTAAAATTATGCAACAAGATGCACCTACAATAACAACAAACATCACTGGACTGTTCAATTTATATAGTTGTTCAAAAACCCTGTAAAATCAAGTAGATATTTTTTTTTATTCCACTGAGGACTCTGGTATCCATAAGTAAAATATTATTTTATATTTGCCGCAACCCTCATGCATTTTCACCTGTAAATACGTCATAAAAAGATCTTCGTCACACTTGAAAACATCAGTATTGCTTTACATTAGAACATTAGAAGAGATGTAATAAATTTTACCTACCAATGCTTATACTCTCAAGCATTGCACAAACTCATTATTGCGTATTAAAAGTGAAAAAGCGTGGGGGTTTCTAAAGAATTATTTAATTCTTGCCGAAAATCCGAACGAGTACTTAGCAACATGATCAAATTTTTTAACAGCGTAGATTACGATTTTCTGCTCTAACATTCGAATCTTTAAATTTTCAAGATAGCAAAATCAAAATAAATCGAAAGTATTTTTCTAAATACTTTCTTAAGAAACTATATTAAAGCTTAGATAACAACAAAGAAAAACATTTTGCCCTTGGCAGCCTCTAGATAAATACAAATTGACTTACTCGATGCAATCATAATGGTATCGAATTACTCGGTTGAGTTTTTTGATAAGATATTGGTAAGCGTTTTCTTTATTTTGAACGAGTTTACGGCGATACTCAACATCTGTTTCGTTTAAAAAATTTCTAAAAGTAGGCCAAGTTTCATTGAAGAACTATCGTAGACAAATACATTATCAAGGGATGCAAGCAACTTTCTCACGTACTGCAATTGATGGAATTCGCCAATGATAAATCCTGTACATAAGTATTCGTACTGGATCAATGACGTAACTGTAAAACTGAAGAGAATAAGAAGGATCTGTTGCATTACAAAAATTTGATAGAAATACTCATGTTGGTCCATGAAAAAATCCCAATAAATAGGCAATGACTTTTTAAATGTTTTATTTCCTGGCAATAACCATGTCAGTAACTCTGGAATAACCACTGGAGCTGTGGCGCCGTTCACACTCACATAAACGAACGTCGCTAAAAAATGTATTGTTAGTTTTACAATTATGTAGTACGGTTTCAAGTACGAAGAGTTACAACCTGTTATAATAGAGTTAATAGTCATGAATTTTTTAACTGATCGCAAAATCACTTTTTGCCCTAAAGTATCGTTGTCTTGAAATATTGTGGTCATTACTTCCAAACTTATTTTAATCTAAGTGACGTGCAGTTTTTGAAAATTACAATGGTCATATTGAATGGGACATAACATTAAAAAATTATTGTAACCTTTTCGTAATTTAAAGCTACATAATCATAGGAATATAATGTAATAAAACCAATTATAGCTTGACACAAGCCTTCCAGCGCACTACTGTCAGCACCTACTTTTTTGATTTCTTCAAATACTTTTAATAACTAAAAAAATCCAGTATTAGAAAATCTTTCTCAGAAAATCGTTTTTGTTACTTAAACAATACGTACTACTGCAATAGATGGAACAAAAAAACAAAGATGAATGAATAATCGTCCAATGATTTGTGTGTATTTACGTTGATATGGCCATAAAAAACAAACTTTTAATACCATTAATTGAAAAGGAAACTGTGCAAGTAGTGACCTATACCATTGTTAATTCCCGTTAATTTTTACTTGAGACATCACGTTTATGAGATAATATGTGTGACAACGTTTTTTCAACTAAATTATTTTGAAAATAGAAAATAGCTTGAACGTTGATATTTTTTTATTTTTCAGCAAAAGCTTGATACGAATTTTAAATAAATGATGTTGCTCGTGGTGTAAAACAATAAAATGCTTTTAAGTAACAGAAAAAGTAGACAGCTAAAGCAAATTTCAAAACAAACGCAAACAATTTTCATTTAAATATAGTAAGGGTGATAAAAGGTTATTATTTGTTTTCACATACCTTACATCATATGATCTATGAACACACAATAGACTAAGTAGTATAATACACTACAATAAACACAAATTGTATAAATAGAATTCCAAAATAAAATAAAACTTATCATAATGCCAGTAAAAGACTTCTCGAACTTTAAAGTAAAATCTTAATCTCATGGTAAGTATTCAATTTTTCAACTCACCCATATGGTAAGTTTTACTGGTATGTAATACTTCAGTTTACTTTTCTATCAATAGTCTTCCAGTTTAAAAATTTGATTTCTCGGCTATGCTATTTTCTCCTAACTCCAGCTTTTTAATTTAAACATGACTGACGAGCCCCAGAGCGTCAATTCATTATTAGCCTTCGCATTGTGCGCACGTGTGTGCATAAGCAACGTCAGGAATGAAAGGTCTTTTGAGGGATGTATAATATGCGCGAAATATAAGTACGCATGTAGGCAGACGCAGCGAGCATCAAGTAGCTAGCTACGCGCGGTAATAGACGAAACGAGCTCTATACGCTTGGATCGAGTCGTTAAGCTCGTTCCCTTTCACGTGTCACGAATCTATACTCGTACAATACGAATTTTCCTAGCGTATCTACGTGTATAAACGTTGAGTCTGTGTGCATGTATGACTACTACTACATAACTATTGCTCGTTTCGTGGATAATTGCCGGCAGCAACGACGCAGCACTCGTCGCGGCCCTGCCCAGGTCACATATAATGGAAGCTTCTGCATGTTTGCTTTAATCCATCGACGTCTCAAAGCGAATTTAATCGAACTTATTTAACGTACGCGTATATCTATACCCACTCGAAGCAAATATACGCGCCCGTACACAATTTTACGCTGCGGCTTAATTAATACATTATGCAGCTCGAGGCTCGGGCCTTTTGGATTTGCGCGACTCGAATGTAGACTCGCGTAGACGTCGGTCGACGGTGCAATGATCTCACTCGATAAGGTTTCTTTGAGCGAGAGTTGCAGCACGCTTGCATCGATGCATACACTTATTAGCCACCGCAGAGGCGGCGGCGGCGTCCAGTCGGTTATGGTCTTCATCGCGGAAACGTTTCGACTTTCCGAGTGTGCGTGTCATTTCGTTTTGTGTATTGCCATCAATATTGACAAAGACTTCGTTTTGACCGCGCCGCGGTCATCGATGCGGCTGCTGTCGCAGCGATAACTTATCGCTTAAACGAACGAAAAAGTCGGGATAATCGCTCGAATGCGAGACTCCGAGCGAATTTTGATTAATTAATGTACTGTGCACGCGTGATATGCAGTTCTCCGGGCAGTGGTGATTCGAGCGAAAAAAAGTTAAAATTATGATACTCAGTCAGTGAAAGGGCGTGCGAGAGTGTTGGAAATTATGTGAAACATTGACGATGTTGGATTTAATTTTATCAATTTTTGAGTACAAACTATTTTGGATACACGCGATAGGATTAGCAGTGTATTATGTTTACTTAAAATTTGTGGCATTCACTTATTGGCGGAGAAAAAATGTGCCGCACGAAAAGCCAGTACTCATTTTTGGAAACATTTTACGTTCGTGTTTGGGGCTAGTGAGTATTGGTCAGTGATCGAAACACAGTAGAAATTTAAAATAATTTAGAATCGAAAAAAAAATTACGGTTACACGTCTTTGCAGGTGAAGATGTAAAACGAAACTACGACAAATTCCGTGATCATCCAGTACACGGTATTTACATGTTATCGAATCCCGTACTGATGGTCAACGACCCCGAGCTCGTCAGGCTCGTTCTTGTCAAAGAGTTTTCGAAATTTCGCGATCGAGGCCTCTATCACAATGAGAAAGTCGACCCACTGACTGCCAACCTGTTCTTCTTACCCGGCGAAAAATGGAAGCGACTCAGGTCGAAATTGAGTCCGACATTTTCATCGAGCAAGTTAAAGGGCATCTATCCATTGATCAAAGAAATCGGAGACGAGCTGATCAAGACCGTGGAAAAGTCGATCGTCGACGGAAATGTAGTGATCGAAGTCAAAGATTTATCATCCAGGTAATTTTCTCCTACTTTAATTTCTATCATTGATACGATGATGTAACGCACTTACTTACTTGTGGCAGGTACACTACCGACACTATCGTATCTATGGCATTCGGTTTCAACTGCAATACACTGAAAGATCCCAAATCGGATTTCCGCAAGTACGGCGATATGATTGTGAAAAAAAGGCCAAATATACAATTGACCTTCGGCATGTTTTCACCGGAGCTGCTGACCTTCTTGCGGATTCGTTTGATCGACAAAGTGGTGTATGACTTTTTCATACGTGTTTTCTCCGAGATGGTTAATTTAAGAAAGAAAGGAAACGTCAAGAGAGATGACGTTTTGAATCTGTTGATGCAATTAGTAGAAAAAGGATATATCGGGGTCAATGATGAAGAAATCAGAAAAACCGTCAGTGAATATGGTAATTAGTTTGTTATTCATAAAAAATTTTCTCTGAAATACTCGATTATATTTCAGACGAAACCGATAGAATAACACTGCTAGAGGCGTACGCTCAGGCTTTCGTTTTTTTCTTCGCCGGCTTCGAGACGAGTTCAGGTACGATAGCTTACGCACTCTACGAATTGGCCCTGCATCCAGAAATTCAGGACAAAGTTCGCGATGAGATACGAGATCTAATGGATGCATCCCATGGTTGTTCCTACGAAAATTGTGTCTATCGAACCAAATATCTTGAGATGGTCATTAACGGTAAATCAAGTGTAAAACTGTCTCATACGATCTTTAACATTTATCTTTATCGTTATAAATAGAGACGCTGAGAAAACATCCAACGTCTCCATTTTTGAATCGCATCTGCACGGAAGACTGTGAATTTCCCAGCATTAATATGAACGTGCAAAAGGGCACCAAGATCATGATTTCGGCATCGGGGATAATGCGAAATTCCAACTTCTATCCTGATCCCGATAAATTTGACCCAGAACGTTTTTCTCAAGAAAATATTGATTCCAGAGACCCCTACACATTTCTTCCGTTTGGCCAAGGACCTCGGAGTTGCATTGGTGCGTAGATCGAATAAATCAAGAGGTGCGGTAGCACCTAGCCGGCAAAGTATAAAAAAAAAAAAAAAAAAAATTTTATAGAAAAAAAATGTTTATGCATTACGCCATAACTCTGGTAGAAATGCCTAACATTAATGATGGCCTAATGACCAAAAAATGTCCATTTCAAATGTCCCAAAGTACATTAGATGCACTCTAATTGTGTCCCATGTTCATACATGTTTCAGTTGATTTTCTCGTATACATGACCATAGATTGGCCTGTTTTTGACATTTTTTTGTTATAATTTTGTTACAAATATTAGGCGAATTTTAAATGACCTGAGAATGACAATTTAATTGTTTCAATAAATTCAAATCCGTTTTTAACCACTTTAGATGAGATAAAACCACTTTAAGACTCTCCCGCTAGGTGGCGAATATCTTTATTTGTAAATCTGCAAGTGGTAAAATCAAAATAATTGTATAAGCACGATTTACACAGTATTACTAAAGATCTATCTGTCATAAAATGTTTATCATTGAGGTTATAAAATGTTAGAATTTCTACCAGGAAAATATCTATGTTATAAATATGAGAAAAAAAGTAATTTTAATCATCTTTACATCAGGTATTCGTCTTGGAATGATACAGACAAAAATTGCTCTGATCAGTCTACTGTCGAAATTTAAATGCTCGCCCTGCTCGGACACACCGGTGCCACTGAAGTACTCGCCGAAATCTATTGTGCAAGTTCCGGATCGCGGCATACCGCTGAGATTCGAAAGGGCCCGATGACGCATATTTGATAATTAATTTTAGTTACGTGATAAATAACGCACCAAACTCGTTACACGGCCGTCGATTTATATACAGAAATTTTATATCTATACAGAATGATCAATAAAAAAAAGTTATTACAAGCAATCGGTAGAGCTGTAAATCGACTAATCCCAGTTTCATAGCGCTTTGGAGAAATTCAAAATCGTTAACGTTTCAACGACCGAGCGTATAACCACAAACGACTCTGGAAATGGCAGTAAACTCATCTCTCCTCTCTCTCTCCCCCCACCCGCGCTCATAATTCAATCTTGCAATGACATCGGCAAAGACAAGTTGTACGAACGTACGCCAACGTGTGCGCTTGCTCGTGTCTATACGTGTACGTGTGCGTGCGCTTGGGTATGTGTAGTACGTGTGCTCATGAGATGGAAATATGCGCCTGTATACATAGGGACTGCTTAGTAATTGCGACGCTCGTACGCTAACCCTCGGAAATGTAATCGGCAAGAAGATGATCGCCTATCTTACGACTAGATTGGTCGTCATTAAATGGAATGCGTTTACGCCACCCTTGAGATGGAAGTAAGAGAGAGAGAGACGATCAAGAGATAGAACGAAAACCACATCTTATCCATTGACGCTTGTCTGAGCTTTACAAGCTCGAAACCAAAAATTACGGGCGCGCTGCTTGAAGAATTGTGTTTTTCCTTTAAATTAATAAGCATTAATTAAATAACACGCGTTGCTGGGGGGTTAGCAAAGAAAAGAGTCATCCGGTGCTTAGACAGTCGGGGAACAAAAGATACGAAGCGCGGGAGACAAAAGTACAAACGACGACGACGAGCGATTCGACGTCGGCGCGGCTACATAACGAGACGTAAGGGAAATGAAAGGAATATAAGCTATATATATGGACCACTGCCGCACGGTGGTGCACAGTATATATATAGAGGCGCGCGACAGCCATTCAAAGTTTCGAATCTTACCCGAGTCGTTGCCGAGATAATGGATGACAAATTGTAACTACGAATTTCGAATGCGTAATGCGGCGGCAGCGCAGCGCGGCAGTTATCAAACTCATTCGCGCGCCACAGCTCGGTCAGATAGAGCTAAAAGCGCAAGAAAGTTGCATAGTCACGTCGCGGAGCAGCCCGCACCGCCGCCGCCGCCTTGTACCAACATTATACAGCCGATCTTATTGATTACCCATTGTATTCTAACTTTTCGACGAGCTAGAAGCTTATGCTTGCTACTCTACTACTATACTGCACTGGCTTGTAGCCACAGCACCGGAGAAGGAGGTGTAGAAGAAAGAGGAGGAAAAAATTGACTAGAAATTTATGCTGAGAATTATTCGGGAATTTCAATACGTCGCTTAACGAACCCACGTGCGCGGGGGCTGGCAGCAAACTTGACCGATGAAATTTATTTAAAAGAAAAAATGAGCCGAAAGCTCGACTCGTTGTTTCGTACCGCGCGCGTGCGGCCACATAGGCGCTTTTTTAACGTCGACCCAGCTCTCCTGATCGCGCGACTACGTAATTTACATTTTAATTTATATATTCGCACAAGTTTCGACCTCATCCCTTCTCCACGTGCACCGCATTCGCGCGTGCACCCAATCGGTTTTCCGTCTTTCGTATTAAATCATTCGCTCTCGGCAATTGTTCATTGAGCGAAATATAGGACGACGACGATCCGGCGCAAGCTCTCACAAATCGTGAGCAAAAACTCCCCAATAAATAGTCGGGGAGAAAAGAGAGAGAGAAAGCAGTCCTTTCTTCAATAATTAAGTCCGTTATACCGAGAATAAGACGAGAAGACGTAGCAAGAAGAAGAAAGAGCAAAAGAGAGAGAAAGAGAGGAGGATGGGAGGTTTAAAGGTCGCGAAGCTTGCGAGCTTGCGCCGCATCCCCAAGAGATGGCTAATTAATTTAATTACTGCCTTCGCTATTCTGGCGCTGGCGCGCGCGCAGATTTTGTGCCTTGCGCACGCGTTCGTTATACCCACACACACACTCTCTCTCTCACGTTCTCTTTCTTGTCTTTTATGTAACGAGCCACAACGCACAGTCCAGCGCTGCAGGCGCCTCAAGAGAGCGAAGAAGAAGAAGAAGAGGAGAGAGACATAGAGACAGAAAAGGGTACTACGGTAGTAATAGTAGTTACAGTTGGTTCGCTGTTGTCGGTAAAAAAGAGCGAAAGAGAGAGAGAGAGAGAATGGGAAGCAGTCGATGGCAGAGCCCGCGCAAGTAAAAGGAAAATCGAGGCCCGCGGCTTTTGTTTCTTTGTCGCGTCGCCACCGCCGTGTATGCGTACAATGCTCGTACTATGTATATAGCTGACAAAACGAGCTTGCGCGCGTTACGACAATGAGCGACAATGGAAAATCGAGTTACAGGCGCGCTCGAAAATGATTTGCCTCGTTACGTTTTTGGGCTTCGCTTGTATTTTATGAATACGTACTGCACGCGTACTATTTCCGTCGATGAATTAATCGTCAAAATATAATTAATAATGTACAAAAGTCACAAGTAGGCTTGCAAGAGAGCGAGAGAGAGAAAATTGTCTTGCGCTTATCGCTTTATAGATTTTCACAATGAATGGAAGGATGAAGAAAGGGTAGAATATAGGTGTATGGCTTGGTTACCGAGAGAAAGAGAATGAGAGAGAGACAGAGGAGCCACGCCAATAATTTCGCGAGTTTGAGAAAGCCTTTGCGGCGTAAATTTAGCCTTCTATTATATAGAGTACAAGTTGCGCCACTCTCTCTCTCTCTCTCTCTCTCTCTCTTTCTACCCTTGCAGTTCTGCTGCTTTCTCCGAATCTGCAGTCCTCGTAGGAATCTCGAGGGTCTCACTTTCTCTTATAATATGTAGAGTGAGATAGAGAAAGAGCAGATATAATCTATATTTCATTAACATTATTCTCTGTATATAAGGACGCGCGTGTGCGAGATTGTGTTGGAGGGGAGGGAGATCGCGCTTATTTGTACACCTTTTGATATCATTATTATGCCTTGATTCTTAGATTCATTAGCAAATGGTGTCTTTGTAACGTTTGTGCCGACGAAAATTTTAATTGACAATCGAAGTTTCAGCTATCAAAGCTCAAATCGAAAAGCTTATTTTGCAATACACACGATCCATAACTACTATATTTGAGTCATTGATTAATTTGTAAAAAAAACTAAATGAGAAGAATGGAGCAGGCACTAGACTGTTTTTCTCCTTTGTATATGATACACTCTAATTAAAGAGCTGCAAGTGAACGCGACACATATTTTTAATACAAAATATGTGAGCGTATGTGCGCATTATAATAAGCCGTACTAGAACTTTTTGTTAGCAATTATATGCAAACGAAAACTTAATTACACGATGAATTGAAAAATGTCAAATTCAAGTCTCGACGTTTTTTTTCTTTTGCTAGTTGTAATCTCAATGACCACGTGTCAGCGCATACATGGGGATGCATTATTTTATTTTATTTTCAACGAAACAAAGTCAATAACTTCCTCTCGAAAAAACACGGCACGCAGGTAACATTTTTCGTTAGCACCAAGGCTCGTACAACTGGAAACGCTCGAATAATCCGTGCATGTACAGGAGTCGCAATTGGCCAGATGTAACGCACGCTGCTGCTGCTGTCTGTGGCTGTGCGAAATCAAAAATAACCGAAACGTTAACACCATCAATATTAAAAATACTTTACGGACGCGAAGTTCATTGATCAATCGAAGCGCAAAACCGCTTATATGCCAAGTCCAATTCGAGCGTTGATGAAAAAAAACGGAGAGTATAAAATTCGTAAAAAAAAATTTATATATAAAAATGCTTCGACTGACGTACGTTCATGGCCCGATCGTTACATACACATTTTTTTTACACAACTCGACTGTTCCGACGAAAAAAAAGGCTGGAAAAGTGAATGATAAATCAAAGGAGCTTTAAGACCCATTGCCGTTAGTCCTGCTTTGGCGTTATAATCCGCCCCGGTCAGAGTACGAGTGTGTGCCGTGCTGCGGCAAAGAACTAAAAGACAAGAATGGAAACTGCAGCACGTGTATACACCCGGGGTACCATGGAGAGAGAGAAATGAGGGGTTAAAAACGCATCCAATACGACTGCTACTGCCGAGCGAAATGGCCTGGAATTCAATAGTAACAAACTCTCGGCCGAGGTATTATTCGGCAGTAAAATTTTATTTCTCAAACATTTATCGAGTTTCCCTTACGCGCTCGCTCTCTGTCTCTCTCTCTCTCTCTCTCCCTCTTATTTTCGCTGTATATTCCACATAAAAACAAGGAGAAAGAAAAAAAAGTTAAAATGGGCTGGGCTGTAATAAGTGCGAGAATGAAAGATAATGCTTCGGAGGACGTGCTTTGCCAAGACAAAGAGAGAAAGAGAAATTTGTGTGGATATTCGTTTAAATTTCAATTCTGAGATTTTTACATGTTTATTACACCGAGGAAGAGGCAATGCAATTATTACGATTGCAACAAAACACACACGCAAAGCTGTTATAATAAACCAGCCACGCTAAAAATCGAAGAATTAGAGAAATGGAATAAACCGGCCTTATAATCACCGGTGTATTGGCTATTGGCACACACGGCCTGCCGAACCTCTCTATATATTTCGTATAAACGACGAATTATTGTTACGAGGAGAAACGATCTGCTGCTGCTGCTGCTGCTGCTGCTGCTGCTGCTGCTGCTGCAGGGCGTATCGTTTTGTGCTAATCTCTCCGATATTTCAGCAGATTTATAATATTTCGCCGTTTACACGAGGGCCAAATATAAAGCCCGAATCTTGCGTGTCGCACACATTTGACGCGCACGTTTGATAACGTATACGCGCCTGTGTGCGGTCGCTCGATTTTTGAGAAAACCCGGACGTGCCGGACGTATGGCAGCGTATTATCGATGGGCTTAATAATAAACCTAACGATCCCGCGAGCGATACACGTTTTAATGCGCGCAGCGCCAAATTATGTGACGTTTCGCTGGGGGAAGGATTATAACTGCGCGCGTGTGTTCTCGACAATCTGCCAGCTCGGCACGAATTTAT